ACTAGCATTAGATTGTTGGAAGAAAAGTCTTCATCCTGGTTCAGTCCAAGCTGGGGATAAACAACATGGTGACTGCTTTAGAAAGAAAGTTGCAGTTTATTGAAGAGGAGAGCCAGACAGGAAGATGGCTCTGGCAGGAAAGAGAGGGGAAAAAGGGCTGCGCACATGTAGGAAGTGGGTTTTTATACCCTCTGGAGCCTTTTGTTTGGAGTTGCTTCCTGTTCCTGTGGCATGAACTTTGACCTGCATCTGAGTGTGCTTTTCTGATATTCTGATGGTGATGGGTTAATCCTATTATGGCCCAAAAGTCATATCCTGCTTCCCTGGTGCTGGGGCTAATGACTTTTAGAGTTTGGGTGAGGTATGCAGATTTTAGGAGTCTTTGTCTTCTTAATCTTCTAGCTGGGGGCCTCCATCAGCATTTCTACAGAGCTGGTTTCTGCTTGGGGGAGGGAGACTTGGGGCTATTAAGAAAACTGGGCATGCTTTTCTGCCTCTTTAAGATCCTTTGAGGAAATATATTTTTCTGCCCTTTTAATATTTCCTTCTCTGGGGGGCTGACTTCCCACAAGATCCAAAAATTGGCTTTCAACAAGTTAGGCTAAAATTGGTTTCAAGAAAATCTAGGACCAGTTCTATAAGTCACTATCTTCCTCTGGGAAAAAAAAAATAACCTTTAAGGAAAACAAGGAGTCTCACTATCACAATTGACCCCCAAATTTCTGTTGCAAAGTGAAACATTTGTCAAGTGAATTTTGCCCCATTTTGCAACCTTTCTTGCCACAGTTGTTAAGTGAATTACTGCAGTTGTTCAGTTAGTAACACAGTTGTTAAGTGAATCTTGCTTTCGCCTTGACTTTGCTTATGAGAAGATCTCAAAAAGGGATCACATGACCCCTGCATGTCATAAACATGAGTCAATTGCCAGGCGTGTTAATTTTGATCACGTGACCATGGGGATGCAGCAACGGTCGTAAGTGTGAAAAACGCTCCTAAGTCACTTTTTTCAGTGCCGTTGTAACTTGGAGCAATTGCTAAATGAACTGTTATAAGTCGAGGACTGCCTGTACAGTGGTTGAATGCTTATATTTAATAGCAAAATGGTAAAAAAAAAAAAATTAATGCCAGGAGTTGGACGATGTTATATTAAGAGCACGTCCATCTGGTCATCAATAATCAAATCTAGTGCCTTTATCTTAGATGCCCATTAAATCCAGTTATTTATGCATCAAAATTGCAGCCTTACATTGCGATTACTAGACCTACTGTCACCCTGTTAACTCTGCAACAGGCGCAACCAAATTCTGTTACCAGGAATGGAGCTATATCAGTGGTTCTCAACCTGTGGGTCGGGACCCCATTTGGGGTCAAACGACCATTTCACGGGGGGTCGCCAAACAACGCAGTCCGCCATTTTTTTCCCCCTTTTCCTTAGCTGTGCTACTCCCTTTTATTCTATTGGCTTTTGAAAGCCAATAGAATAGACTCTCTTGAATAGAGTCTAATTCTATTGGCTTTCAAAAGCCCATAGGAATTGTCCAGGCTGTCTCTGCCCTGCTGAGCCCGCCAAAAGTCCCATTCTGCAAACGGTGCTGCACCAGTTGAGTAGTCCTCGACTTACGACCGGTTGAGTAGTCCTCGACTTATGACCGGTTGGGGGGTCGCAGCATTAAAAAGGTTGAGAACCACTGAGCTATATAATGAGTACTTTTAAAAGGATGCTAGTCTCATTTTTTTTTTTTTATTTTCTAGCCTGTTGCATTGCATTGTCTGGTTTTTGATGGCTTTCCCTTCAGCAGTGAACCGATGTGCTGTAGCTAATGAGCCTGCCAGAGCTTCGTTAGAGTGTTGATGCTTTCAGAAGCTCTTTGGGCCAAATTCTCGCCGCCTTTTGATTTCTCAGAAAGCTTCCAGGCCCCAGATATTTCCGTACAAACACCCTTAGAAAACAAAATGAGCAGAGAGCTGCAACCCACTTGTGGGCTGTTGAATTTATTTCTCAACTTCAGACAGTCATTTGAAAGTTCAGCTGCTCCTTAAAAAAAAAAGAGAAAAAGTAGACTGTGTATGGGTGGGTGTAGTAGAAAGTTTTAGCTAGGTGGCATACTGAGAAATCTGAGGTTTATGACTTCCTACAGGCATAGGAGCCATTTGGTACACGTGTGCCAACATGCCTTCCAACTCTTGAATGTTCTCTTTGGACTAAAAGCAGCTATAGATTTTTCTCAGTCATCTGGAATTAACCAGAGCTACTACCACTAATTGATAGATCTGGTTTCAGAAGGGGACAAATTACAATCTTGCTTTTTTTTTTGTCTCCATCAATGCAGACTTGAAGTGTATGCCCATGTCTAAGCATATGGGGCAGTAGGCAAGCCCAAACAAAATATATATTCTATCCTTATATGTGAATATTGGAACATTTTATGCAGTAGTCATGGACAACCTCTGGATAGAGTTGCAAGGGATCTTGGAGGTCTTCTAGTCCAAACCTCATTTCAGACAAGACGTTGTCCGATCTCTTCTTAAAAATCTCCAGTGATGGAGCACCCACAACTTCTGAAGGCAAGCCGTTCCACTGATTAATTGTTCTCACTGCCAGGACATTTCTCCTTAGTTCTAGGTTGCTTCTCTGCTTGAATAATTTTCATCCGTTTGTTTCTAGTCTTGCCTTCTGGTGTTTTTGGAGAATAGCTTGACTCCCTCTTCTTCAGATACTGGAAGACTGCTATCATGTCTCCTCTAGTTCTTGTTTTCACTAGACTAGACACACCCAACTCTTGCAAGCATTCTTCATATGTTTTAGCCTCCAGCCCCCCCCCCAATCATCTTCGTTGCTCTTCTCTGCACTCTTTCCAGAATCTCTTTTTTTATGTTTATACTCAATTTAGTTTATGGAAAGCAGGAATAGCTTGACTGAACCTCATATAATGTCTTGGCTGAGACTCCAATATGAAGGTGGAGCCTCTGCCTTAGAAATCAGAGAAAGAGGATTTGGTGGTCTTTCACAAGATAATGGAAAGTGCTCAAAAACTGGTTACATTTTGTAATCTTTCTTGCAAATAGGTTTACCTTCAAATATATCCCTGAGCTGCAGTTGCCCACTGTTGCCTATACCAGGGGTAGGCAACCTTGGCTCTTTTATGACTCGTGGACTTCAACTCCCAGAATTCCTGAACCAGCATGGGGGAACTATGGCCCCTTCATGACTTGTGGACTTCAACTCCCAGAATTCCTGAGCCAGCATGGCTCAGCTTGGAAACCTCTCCCTTTTCCCTCAGCGTGGCTGGCTCAGGAATTCTGGGTGTTGAAGTCTACGAGTCATAAAAGAGCCAAGGTTGCCTACCCCTGCCCTATACTTACAGGACCCAGAAATATTCTTGTAAATAAAGAACCCACAAACGATTAATGTTTGGCAACATGCCAGCTTCCAATGATTATTTTACTATTTTTTTAAAAGAAAAGTCATGTAGATCAAGCATATTTAATACGTCTCTGAGCCTGTTTGGAACCTGTGTGCCTATTTCCTCCGTTAATCCCAGGTGTTTGTGGCCTTCAGCTGTGATTTAATTGTGTTTTTTGAGGCCTGAGCTTGTCTGGCATCCAATTGGCACATGGGCAGTGCTTAGTCAGGCAGAACGGAAAGGATGCCCAGTTGATTACAAATAAATGCATTGTTAAAACATACACCAAGTTGTAGCTGGACGTGTTCTGCAAAGGGCTGAGAAAGACCTTGTCAGCTTTACTCATCAATAAAAAGAGAGCAGGACTGGGTGACCTTGCTCACAAATTGGTCATTCCCCGGTCACTTTCCAATTCAATTACGGATAGTTCTCGACTTATGACTTTGTTTAGTGACCGAAGTTACAACGGCACTGAAAAAAGCGACCATTTTTTTTACACTTACAACCCCATGGTCACATGATTAAAATTCAGCTACTTGGCAACCGATTCATATTTTTTTACTACTACTAAATGTAAGCGTTTTTTTGCTACTAAATGTAAGCGTTCAACCACTGTACAGGTAGTCCTCAACTTACAACAGTTCATTTTGTGACCTTTCAAAGTTACAACGGCACTGAAAACAGCAACTTTATGACTATTTTTCACACAACCGCTGCAACATCCCCATGGTCACGTGATCAGGATTCAGACACTTGGCAACTGACTCACATTTATGACGGTTGCAGTGACCCGGGGTCATGCTGTCATGAGTCATTTGCCAAGCATTTGAATTTTGATCATGTGACAGTCATAATAAGTATGAAAAGTGGTCATATGTCACTTTTTTCAGTGCTGTTGTAACATTGAAAAGTCACTAAATGAACTGTTGTAAGTTGAGGACCACCTGTATTTAGGCTTGCCTGTGATTTAGGATTGTTTCTGCATTACCAGTTCTCGAATTTCAGTAAAGTAAGCAGCCAAAAAGCCTAGTCCTGACTCAATTTTGTTTTGTTTTGAATGTATATATAGTTTTTTAGAGCTTAGTCATGTGCATAATAATGTAAATTTGTCATACGAGCTGTAGGATAAAAAAGGAGAAGATTTTGTTTATAGGTGTCATTTTGACTTTTTTTTTTTTTTGTATCGTCCTCTCTGCAAATGCCCCCGAATCAGAATTTTGCAATTCTGTGTGCAACACAACGGCCTTATGTTTTACAGGAATTATTTAAAGGACTTTTTTCATTTTGTTTATCATCTAAGTAACAAATACAGCTCCAAAGTAGTTTATGTGATCAGTTACAAACAAGGTGACATATCTGCCCTGGCGTGTTCGTCTAAAAAACGCTTAACACAAGAGGAAGGCAAAGGAAAAATGTATATGACCATTTTTAAACATTACTATTAAGCTGTGCCTCTTCGCTTGAGAACTGAGCAACGCCAAGTTTTGTATTAATTAGCAAGCCTTGTTTGGCAAACGCATCCTTCTGTTTTGCACGTTAAAAAAAAGTAACATTTCAAGGTTCGGCTAACCATGGTTCTCGTCTTGTTTGCTTTAGACACCGATCGAGCTATAGCACTTCTGGAAGATTATTGTAAGACGTTAAAAAAGCCAGAGGAGCAACAACTGAAAAAAGCCATTAAGAAGGTGATGGGCATCTTTAAAAGCAGTTTGTTCCAGGCTTTGCTAGGTAGGTGAACCAATGCTTCTTTTTCCTGCTTTTCTGTTTCATTTACTTGGAGGTTGCCCTGGATGGCTCTTGAAAGGGGTCCCCAAAACACTTCCCAAGGTCTGGGAATATTGAATACTATCGGTTAGTTTGCTTTATCAGTTATAATAAGTATAAATGATAACCCCATGGAAGGCAAGTCTTTTTTTTTTCATGCTATTTGCTTTATAACAGTGGTTCTCAACCTGTGGGTCGGGACCCCATTTGGGGTCGAACAACCATTTCACGGGGGTCGCCAAACAACGCAGTCCGCCATTTTTTCCCCCTTTTCCTTAGCTGTGCTACTCCCTTTTATCCTATTGGCTTTTGAAAGCCAATAGAATAGACTCTCTTGAATAGAGTCTAATTCTATTGGCTTTCAAAAGCCAATAGGAATTGTCCAGGCTGTCTCTGTCCTGCTGAGCCCGCCAAAAGTCCCATTCTGCAAATGGTGTTGCACCAGTTGAATAGTCCTCGACTTACGACCGGTTGGGGTCGCGGCATTAAAAAGGTTGAGAACCACTGCTTTATAAGAAAGGTCACCAGTTCTGCAAAGGAGCCATTATTTTTTTTGGGGGGGGGGGAATTTCTGCCATTGGAAAACAGGGGAACAAAAGATTTCGTACTCCAGAGGTCTCCAGTTACATGGAGAGAGGTTTTTCTACGGACCGGAGAGTGTCTAGTTTTGTGTGCTGCCCACAGATAGGGCTTTGCTTGTTTATGCGGACCGGTTGTTGGCATGGCGTGGCCCGGTACCGGTCCACGGACTGGGGGTTGGTGACCCCTGCCTCTAGTCCAAAGGTGCTTTTCCAAAAGACAATCAGACTTTCTTGGTGTTTTTGTCCTTGAAAATGTTTCGCTTCTCATCCAAGAAACTTCTTCAGTTCTGAAGCTTCTTGAATGAGAAGCGAAACATTTTCAAGGAAACCCCCACACACAAAAGTCCATTTACCTTTTGGAAAAGCACTGTTGGGATAACCATGACCTGGATGATTGAGAACTTCTATAGACAAAGGTCTTTGAACTATAGTGCTGGAGAAGACTCCTGTGAGTCCCCTGGACTGCAAGGCGATCAAACTTGTCAGTCCTAGAGGAGATCAACCCTGACTGCTCTTTAGAAGGCCAGATCCTGAAGTTGAAACTCAAGTACTTTGGCCACCTAATGAGAAGGAAGGACTCACTGGAGAAGGGCCTAATGCTGGGAAAGATGGAGGGCAACAGAAGAAGGGGACGACAGAGAATGAGGTGGCTGGATGGAATCACTGAAGCAGTAGGCGTGAGCTTAAATGGACTCCAGAAGATGGTAGAGGACAGGAAGGCCTGGAGGAACGTTGTCCATGGGGTTGCGATGGGTCTGACACGACTTCGCAACTAACAACAATATAGACCAAAGGTTTTCTAGCTTGCTCAGAACCATGGTTCCAATCCAACTTGCAATTCCCTTGCCAATGCCCTCTGCGGAAAGCTAAAGGAGGTTTAATACAAGTAGCCCTCGACTTAACAACCACAATTGAGTCCAGCTTTTCTGTTGCTAAGCGAGACGGTTGTTAAGTGAATTTTGCCCCGTTTTACAACCTTTCTTGCCACCGTCATTAAGTGAATCACTGCAGTTGTTAAATTAGTCACACGGTGGTTAAGTGAGTCTGGTTTTCCCATTGACTTGGCTTGTCAGAGGAGGGAAAAAGATGATCTCGTGACCCCGGGACACTGCAACCGTCATAAATACACGCCGGTTTCCAAGCCTCCGAATTCTGATCACGTGACCGTGATCGTGGAGATGCTGCAACGGTAATCAGGGTGAAAAATTGTTGCAAATCCCCTTTTTCAGTGCCATTGTGACTTCGGACGGTCGCTAAACGAACGGTTGTAACTGGAGGACTATCTGTACTGCTTTTTCATCGATGCCACATGTTGCTGACCAGATGATAATTTCTTCTCAGTTATCACTGCCAAAGATAAGGAGGAGCATATCTCCCTTTCTCCTAAAGGTGCTTTGAATTTTATAAATATTCCAACAGAATTCCCATTGCCAGAGATTTCTCTGAGAAGACTAGTACAGAAGCAGTTTTTACAGATCTCGCTGTGTCCATGTTTGCATAAAGACACTTAACCAGATCAATTAAAAGATCTAATATCTGATTTCATGATCAGCTTGCTTGGTTACAAGCATGACTTCTTTTTATTATGCAAATCTGGTCCTTTTACGATAGTTTATTCTAATATATTGGCCAAACCGAGATCATGGGTTTTCAGGAACCAGACTGAATCCATTGTGTAAATGCTTTCCGGACAGACAGAATTGTTGGACAGGAATTTAGCATCCGTATGTAACAATGCCTATAGGGTCCCTGGGTGCTTTCTGTTTTCTTGCAGATGTTTCATTGTCCAATTAGATAACAAGAAACAATGATTGGAAACTGAACAAAGAGAGAAGCAACCTAGAATTAGGGAGAAATTTCCTGATAGTGAGGACAATTAACCAGTGGAACAGCTTACCCCCAGTAATGGTGGGCGCTCCATCACTGGATATTTTTCAGAAGAGGCTACACAGTCACTTGTCTGAGATGATATAAGTTCTCCTGCTTAAGTGGGGGGCTGGACTAGAAGACCTCCATGGTTCCTTTCTATTCTATTCTATTCTATTCTATTCTATTCTATTCTATTCTATTCTATTCTATTCTATTCTATTCTATTCTATTCCCATTTTCTTTTCTATTCTACTCTACTCTATTCTATTCCCATTCTCTCTTCTCTTCTCTTCTCTTCTCTTCTCTTCTCGTCTCGTCTCGTCTCTTCTCTTCTCTTCCCATTTTCTATTCTATTCTATTCCCATTTTCTTTTCTACTCTACTCTACTCTACTCTATTCTATTCCCATTCTCTCTTCTCTTCTCTTCTCTTCTCTTCTCTTCTCTTCTCTTCTCTTCTCTTCTCTTCTCTTCTCTTCTCTTCTCTTCCCATTTTCTATTCTATTCTATTCTATTCTATTCTATTCTATTCTATTCTATTCTATTCTATTCTATTCTATTCCCATTTTCTATTCTATTCTATTCTATTCTATTCTATTCTATTCTATTCTATTCTATTCTATTCTATTCTATTCTATTCTATTCTATTCTATTCTATTCCCATTCTCTGTTCTGTTCTATTCTGTATTCTGTTCTATTCTATTCTAGTCTAGTCTATTCTATTCTGATCTGGTCTGGTCTAACATCAGTGCTAGAAGGGAATGGGGGCTTGCTCTCTGGTTATATGTGAGGTGCCCTGTGAGTGTTGATGGAAGTGTTTTTGGTGGTCTCTTGATTAATCTGCTGTTTACATCACCAGCACTGGTGATGATAATGAAACCTCTGTAAAACAAAACAAGCAAATTCAGAGAACACCCCAAGACCTCACAGCTCAATCCTGAGCTACAGGTTTTCTCTTCTCTTGGAAAAAAAAACCCTTCTGATTGGATCAGCCCCAAAATGGCAGCAGAACAATAATGAAGCTGTGGGGTTGTGCAAAAAAAAAAAAAAAAAAAAAGTCCTCCGGAATAAGAATCTGGGATTCTCCTCTTGGCAGAAATGACACAATAGCCTCTGTTTTCCTGCTGTGCAATTCTAATTCTGGAAATGGATTCTCCGCTAATGGTGTGATAGTGCCCATAATTGCTTCCTTCTTTCTCTTCTCCAAGGCGTGGCTTTTGAGGGGGAACAGAGGGTGAGGGAAGTGTGATGTAAAAATAGCAATAGGAAGTGGAGGTACTTACCAAAATCAAAGTGGAACTTACCTGTTCACAGGTTTGTTTGCACCTTGATTAGGCACCCAGTCATTCAGACTGCTGTTTCTACATCAGATTGTTGCAACAGCTCAGATCTTGGAAGCAAAAAATTAGCACCAATTCCTGAATTTGTCTGGAACCTATAATGCACAATTTTGAAATGACTTAAGTCTGTAAATGTTTACTCTTGACAGGAAGGTCAGTAAGATACATTGATAGAAACGATGGGGATTTTGTTGTTATTTTTCTGTTTGGTTTGATTTTGTATTTGTTTCCCCCCCCCCCCGTGTTAAACTTTTTTAGAAGAAATAAAAAAAAATGAGAAGCTTGAATTCAAACCTACTTTCCTAATGCAAAGATGTATTCAGTGGATTATATTTTATTAAACCAAGATTTTTCTACCCACGCAGACCGTTGTACTTTTCTTCTCATAGGAAGCAAAAATTATGAACTTCGTTATTAACCACAAATGGGGAAACTGTAACGATTATCATATAATAACTATAATAACTAGGAATCAGGAATATTAATTCATTGGTAGATGATGGCTTAATATCCTGGCTTCCTCTTGAACTGGCACCCGTGTTTTTTGCAGTTTGGATAAAATGGTAAAATATAGCTTTCTGGTTTTATAATGATTAAAGTATATGAGTTGCACAAATGATGAAAAGACTTATGTGTCCTTTGGCTTAAGAGTGATTGCCCAACCAGCTTTTAGGATGAAAGAATTTACCTACTGAATGAACAACCTGAGAGAAAAAAAAAGAACTGGTGTTCGAGATTACACATGTTTATTATTCTTCCTGACTTGGAATGAGCTTCTTCCCATGGTGCTTTTTTAATACTACTAAAGAAATTGAAATGGAAAAGTACATAATCCCTCATTATAAAATTGTTTTGCAATTTAATGGCTTAGAACTGCTGGTTTTTCTAAAGTAGTTGTCTGAGCATATTCCGGGCTGCAAGATAATGCTGTTGTGTAATCAATAATCAGGTTTGGTTACATAATTTCTGTTTTTACTAATCATGTTTCTGACATCTGTTTGAGACCATTTGGGGTCGATTGCCATGTTAACATGCTTGCATCTCCTACCATCCCTTGAAAGTGCTTTTGTTGCCGTTGCAGATTTTAGCCTAAATGGTTTTTTCTCCGGGCTTTAAATCCTGCCACCTTGTAGTTTTTGTGCTCTGACATACTGTTGAAAGAAAAATCTTCATCAG